CATGCAATTGATAGGTTTTGCATAATGAATATATCCTTCCATTACACATGTGTACACACCTACTCACCTGTGTAACCCCAGAGTTTGGGAAACTGAGAGGAACTCTGCTTAAAACCTGTGATCAGCTTAAAATACATTTTCCCCATCCATTCTTGCAATTTTGTGTAATTATAGATGTGTTAAGCACACATGTTTGGCAGACAGCTGAGGATGTGTTGGATAGATCACAGCTTTAGCAGACTGAGCAAATTTATCTTACTCTTCTATTAGTGAGAGGAATGTCTCTCTCAACCTGATGACTTCTCCCATCAGTTTTCTGCAAGAAACCTTGTTTGATTCTTGCTACCAATGAGTTCAGATTATCATTTGTTATTGTTGTTTTGCACTATCTTGTATTTTTTTCAGTTAGAGCTATCCCAGTTTTGTGAGTTGAGCACTTTTAAAATGCAATTCTTGGACCTTATTTCTTGATCCCATTATAGGGAAATAAACATGTGCTCACTATCAAGAGTCATTCACAGCTGGGACCAAAGACCCAACAAGGCCCAGCCTGTGCCCAGTATTGTCATGCCCAGGTGCTCCCTTGTCCCCTTCTCTCAGGAGCACTGTTCAGCTGTTCTCACCCTTCAAGGTCTCCTTACCTTGCCTACAACCGAATGTAAAAGAAACAGATAAATGTGAACTTTCATTCCGGACTATTAAAAATGTTAATGACCATCAGCTTTTGATTAAAGACACACACACTGGGTAAAATTTTGTGATGGAGTGAGGTTGTTATGGTCTTCAAATGTGAGGAGATGTTAAGTGCTCACATGAGAGCTGTAGGAAGAGAGTGAAAGGAGAGGCAGAGAGCTCTCAACAACAGAATATATTCAGAAGGTTTGTATTTTCCCAGTTCCTGACTGAAAAATTGATAAGTTCTTGCCTATTGTTAGTTTCCTTATTTTGGTGATTGTTGTTAAAGAGGGGCTATGACTACTTTTTAATTTTAATTTAGAAAAATGCTTACAGAATTTTTGGCCTTCTTGGAAGAGACATTTAGTGTAAAATCATCCTGAACTGGTTAACTGGAGGAAAGGACAGAGAAATAAACATAATATAATCTATTTGAAAGATTAGTCAAGTTTTAAAAAGATATTTTCTTGATAAGAGAATTTTTACAGCTTCTTCTAGATGAAGTTCAAGTGATTTCATCTGGTGCCTTGACTGTCCTTCAGAGGCACCTCTTATAAATCCAAACAAGCAGTATATTCCAGTATGATTTAAACTTTCCTATTTTTTGTTAAGGAAAGCAGAACTGCAGTATACCTGTTGAAAAGGAGCAAGGGAGTAGTTTTATTAGTGTCTTACAAGAAGAATAACTTGACAAAGAGATTTAAACTTTTAGCTCCTGTATTTGCAAGAGTGTTTTCTTATTATGTTGTGCTGCCTGTCTGAGAAACAGGTAGAGGGAGAGGAAGGGGAGGCAGAAAATTTTTCAAGGCCCTATGGAATCTCTTTTTTTGGATATTTAATAATGTACCATGTAAATGTATTGTAATATACAATATTTTGACCTGCTTTCTCACTACTCAGATGAGGGGATCATGCAAATATTAGTGAAGAGGTGAATCTTCAATGCAAATTAAGTGAGAAACCTCTTTGAATTCAACATTTAGCAAAGCAATGTATGTTGGATAATTATATGGAGAACTTGTCTTTTCAGAGCTGCTGTGTCAAGTGAGATTGGGGATTTGGGTTTGGTGTGTTGTTGGGTTTTTTGTTGGTTTATTTTTTGGGGGAGGGCAGGGAGTTTGAAAGTATTGTATCAATAGTTTATGTGCAGTGGGAGATGATCTGTGACAGGGAGATTTTGATAGAAAATGCACTGTAGTTTTGTTCCCATAAGGCGTGAACTGAATTAAATGTATTTTGGAGACGATACCACTTCACTCTTCAGTGGTGACTTATTATCACCATTACTATTAGTAGGGACATGATATTTAAAATGAAATATGATGCTTCTTATTGTCACGGCAAATAAAAACAAGAGATAAATTAGTTGCTAAATTAGCATATTGACTAGTTTTGTGAAATATGCATAATAAGAAACTTCAGCAATAAATAACTTGAAACAAAATATTTTTCAAGGAGTTTTGGAGGTCCTTGTCTATTTTAGAGTAATCGTACATGGATACAGTTTGCCATCCATTGACTTTGTTAATTTGCTCTCCAAGACAAGGAGAACAAAGGTTTACAAGTCTAATTGTATCAGATGCCTTGCTGCAAATCAAATAGGCAACTGTTATTAAAAGAGAACCTAAAACATGATAAAATCAGTTTCCTGTTGTGCTTTTCGTGGAAAACATATTAGTCAATAAAGCTATATCAGAGTTCTGTATAGGGGTAGCTTGGCTGTTTATTTCTTTGTACCTAAACAGGCTCATTTTGTTAATCTTGTATCTGTATTTTTCTGTTCTGACACTATCAGTATATTATGGGATGGCCTACCTCAGACAGGTAGCTGCAGGCAGCAGGTGGCTGTAATCCCAGCTCCCAGGTTCTTCAAAATTAGCAGAGTCTGGGTGAACCAGTCACTGCTCTAATGAACCACTCCACTAGAAATATTCCTGGCTGAAATTTGTCATCTGACACCTTTTGGATCTACAGCACTGCAGGATGAGAAATCAATTACAAGACTGTCTTCCCTTCATCACAGGACAAATTCTGCAGCACTGGACACATATATTTCAGACTTCTGCTTTAACTTCTTTGTAATCTCTTGGGAAAACAAGGAAGAGAGATTTAACCAGGGATTTTTTCCTAATCATAAAAACTTTTCTTTAGAAGAGATAAATTCAGATTTCTGACAACAGGAGTACTGAAGTATAACTTTCATTTGTCCGGGGTATATTAGTGCTTGAAGTCTTTTATGTTCTTTTATTATTTTTCAGCAACAATTCCTTTTTTTTTTTAAGTGATCTTAACTATGCTTTTAGTTAGACTGTGTGCTGTACTCTGTGATGAGGTGTTTTGATCACTGCCTGTCATTCTTGTCTGATGCTCTTTAGGAGTCAATGTACAGTTAAGGCATCCTTCTGCTTTGCTGGGTCAGTCGGTACAAAGGCTGCAATCAGATATCTTCAGGAGTTTTTGGACACTGTTTCAGGCCAAATGGTTGGTACAGTAGACTTGTCTGGAGCAAAGTCACACACGTCTCAAAACCATGTTAGAAACCACAGTTTGTGTACTGTGTAGGCACATTCCATTCTGCCATACTCTGCTTGCAGAAGCTTTCCTCATCTGAAACTTCCCTTTCAAAAGGTACCAAATGTATATCCACAGTTTACTGGGGTATGGGTAAAAGGATGAGAGAATTCTTTTATTGGTGTTAATATTGTAAATCTGCTTCAGGTTATGTGTTTGTGGTCTTTGCAGGCAGGTGTGATATAGATGTGAGGAACTCTGCTGGTGCTCCAATATGTCTTGAATTCCTGCAGCTGGGCTTGCCTAGCTCAGACCTAGCCCTGTGCTAATCAATCCTGCTGAGACACAGCATATTAGTTCAGGCTTAATGATGTGCTAATACAGCTACCTGCTGAAAGGCTATGCAGGCAACATAAGTCATTCTATCCCCCCCCAAATTTTCTTTCAGCAGGATTAGGAGCTAGGTAATTCACAGTCAGAGTATTGAGCCTTTCAGTTCTTTTCATAAGAGCAGCTTACTTAATCCATTTGACTCTCTGATGTGCTCCGTGCTCTCATGGAGGTAGGACGGCTGTGGAGAGAGGATTTGCTCATGTATTTAGATGTGGTGAAGCTCCTGGCTGGTTTTTTTTTGATGCAAAGTGTGAAACAGTTCAAGATTGTTTTATATCTATAACACTTTATAAATTACAGATATTTTTCAGAGAAGTTAAAAGGCTTAATTGTGAAAATGTATTCTCTAGGGCAGTTTCTGTGTTCAAAATGCAGCTTTATTCCATGGATTTTATCCAGTCCTAGCTCTTTATCTTTGTCAGAAAATAAAGAAACTGCTGGTTGTGTCAACCAAGTGTGTGCCCTTCAGAGTAGCAGGATATTTCATGCTGCTGCTGTACTTAGTCCTTGTCCCTGTACCCCAAGTGGAGTGACCAGAGCAGAGACATACCTTGCCCACTTCTGTGCTGTCCTCACAAATATCAGCAGGAGCTCGTTTTGTTTAAGGGTAAAAGGGATAATCACTAGTGTCTCAGTACCTGGTTAGGTGACACTAAGCAGTGTCACAGGGGAACAGGATAGTTCACCTGTGAAGATGTATGTGAGTAAATGAGCTGGGCTTGCCAAGCTCTACACACTTGCTAGGGTGAGGTGTAGAGCTGGAGCAGCAGGGGCCCATAAAGCAACGTGTTTTGGAAAAAAATTCCTACTTTAAATGGAAAAAAATCCTAGGGTCTTTTTCACAGACCTGTACTGATTTTTCATCTGTCTGTGAGGTATCATGCTGTTGCTAGGGATTGCTTACTTTTTAAGCTTTTCTCCAAAGAGTTAATGCTCCTGAGTATCCTAGGCATGGTCAATGGTTGGAGTTACTAAATTCAGGCCTAATTGGATCAATTTATACCTGATTTCTAGGCTTGTCTCACCTCAGTAGCAATGTCCTGAGGAAATTTATGGTTTCTTAGAGTTTGTTTTTGTAGTGTATTGCAGTATTACTGTGCTGTGGTATAACAATGTATTCAAAATTAAGAGAACATAAAGCTCCTCAAATAAAAGACAGAGACAAACATGGAGAAAACTGAACCCTCAGTAGAGGAATGAGGGGAAGAGCAACATTAAAGGTTGTTCTGGATATAGCCAGTTAGTAAGTGCTGTTTTGTCAGACCTGTTCTGGACTTTCTGTACTGCCCAATTTAGACTCCCAAGGCCAACCAAATGTCTGACTCTTGCTGAGCATTTAATAGGTCTAATTTAATCAGTCTGCACTAATTACCCACAGTTTGAAACCTGTGTTAATTTTTACCTTTCTATTGTGTTTTTAGGCTGCTTATTTGAAGATGACCTTTGCAAATCTTTTGAAATCTGTGTAAATGGTAAGTCTTCAATATTTTATTTGCTGATAAGTCTGTCCCCCATTCCAATTGGTATGTGACTGATTCAATAAACCAAATTTATGTATGAATGAGAAGGAGAAGAAGGAAAAAAAAAGATATCAGGTATGACTTTTCTGGTCAGCAGTCAGGGGAAATTTAATAGATTTAAAAAATATATAAATATTCTCTCAACCTTGAACAACCTCATCTTCTTTTCTTGTGAAATAGACTGTAACTAAATTAAACACTCTGAAATATGTTAATGTTTAGTTTGCTTTAATATGGGTGAAAATAACTGTTTTGTTACCTTCAGATTGTTCCTCTTTTTAGGGGATGATGCTGAGTAATTATCAGTCTCCTTTATCTTCAAAAGGTTATTATTTATTGTAATAAGAAAGAAGGTCTCAAAGGAAGACTGCAGTTGTTCTTGACTATGCTGCTTCCTTTTTCTGTGATTTTTACTTGAACTATGCAAAAGCAGCTTTCTTCTGGTCTCCCTCATAATTTCTTTTTAGTAAATCAAAAAAGCAAAAACAATGTATGAATGAGTTTAATGGAACAGTAGGAAAGATTTTTCTAATAGTAGTTGAACATTCTCAATTTGCTACATGAAAGCATTTAATTCCCAATGAAGGACAGAGTTAGAGGGAGAGCTTTGAACTGTTTTAAAATATGTACATCTACAATTAAGGGGTTTAATTTTTTTTAAAATTAGGTACTGTATATGAATTTTTTTGTGAGTGTGTGGCATGATGAAGTAGTTTTGTTTTCCATCAAACCCAGAAACAGTAATACAGGTCTATTAATAAACAGAAAAATGCCAATTTGTAAAAATTCTGTATTGAAGATTTCCATGACTGACACCAGAAAGGGTGGTGACAGATTTCTACAGTGGTGCATTTTGCTGACTACCAGTATTTTCAAGTGCCTCACCATAGTCTTCCTCAATGCAAGCATATTTAATCAGATTTTATGACAGGCCACAGTTATATCTGGCAGCCAGTGCATAATAGGGAATTTATGCAACAGGTTATAGTAATTTCTGTACTTTAACTGATCTCTCTATTGAAGACTTTGCTGTTCCTATAAATGTTATTTCCTACTTCTTGCTCTGCCTGTTTTCTTAGTTGAAGATGCAGTTTCTAAAGTCTTAATTTGACACTCCTTAGCATGCAAAAATAAATTATGTCATCGTATTTGAATTTGAATGGACCTTTTCTGTAGACCTACTCTTATTTTGGCATAACTAACTTAAAGAAATATCTGTAATGAATAAGCCAGTTGATCAATAATATTTCCTAATGTCTGATCTTGTTTTAAAAAAAAACACTTGCAGGGATTCAGTCAATGTGTTTAAGGTAACTGCATAGTGTTTCACTTTTTTTATTGCTGTAACTGGGTAAATGTCGTCTAGAGTGGATTTTAAATGCTGTCCTTGATGCAAGTGAAAATACACAGTTTTTGAGAAAAGTAACAGGATCTTTGGAAGATCATACTTGGAAGCCCTAAAATACCATCAGGATTTGCTTTTTTATATGTACCAGAAAGGAAGCAGGGCCACTTGCTCCTGAGCAGGCCTTCATGTTTTTCCTGTCCAAACTGCTGCTGACTCAACTGTACCTCTGAAGTTTTTCAGAAATCCTGATATGTTAAAGTGTGAGTGCTTTGCTAGATTGAAAGCTCAAGAATTGAAGTCTCTGGAGGTCACTGTGCTCAGGAGCAGAGCTCATTTTGTTTGTTCCAAGGTCATGAAAAGCTTTGCCTCCTTTGTTGCCACACAAGTGCATGTTTCTGAAGTACAGTATGAAAGTGGGAAAGAAAGAGCAGCGACTTTTCAGTAGCATCACAGAAGTGCCTCTGATCTGCAGATCTACTCCTGACTCCTGCAGGAAGGCTGATCATTTTGATCTGGTTCTCTGCCTTCAACAGAGGCAATTGAACTTATCCTGTTTTCAAAACTAAAGCTGGGTTTGCCTACTGAGGGCAGAAGTCACAGTATTTGAGGTCTCACATCATGTCGTCAGCTAGAGACTCCAAGTACATTTCATGCATCAGACTTGTAAAAACATAACCAAAACACCAATAACTGAGCTGTTTCATAGCTTAAAAAAATAAAGTACTCTTATTACCTTCTTGTTTCTTCTGAAGGGAGATTGTGCATGAAATATTTTGATAAATGCTCATTTGCATGTGTGCTGGTTTAAAGGCAAACCGGCAGGAGAAATGAACCCAACTCAGAAAAGATTATACGTCAGAGTTACAATTTAATAAAAATAATTATATGGACAAACAGTTGGTTTCAACCCACAAAATTCAGATGTGTAACCCAGTACCCTGGAGCATGAACAAAATGGTGTTTGTTGGCCCCCGTGCTGAGTCCCACGTGGTCCCCATGAGTCCAAAGTAAAAGTAAAGGAGGACCTGTTGGTGCGAGTGCTGGTCACACTCTGGTTGAGGATGCTGGTCACAGTTTGGTCGAGGGTGCTGGTCGCAGTTTGGTCGAGGGTGCTGGTCGC